CACTATCCATGGTAGCCACTATCCAGTTCCAGAGGCCCTCACATTCTCGATGAAAATGGCAGTCACCTGGCGGGCAGTTCCATAATAAAATAGATCACATAATCATCAGTCGAAAGTTTTGCCTAACTGACGTCGCTGTTGTTCCGAAGTTCTATACGGGATCACACCATCGCCTCCTTTGCGCTAGATTCCGCTTCTCAATGCTTGGAGAGAGAGCTGCGAAGTTCCGGAAACGAAGCCCCAAGACTGTTGTCAACAGGGATCACTTCGCTTCATTGGAGAGTTTGTGGTAAGATTACGCCAACGACAACACCGATGAAGAACACGACCGGCTCTTCGAACATCTTCGTGATAGCGTCAGGAAAACTGTCTCGAAGATGTCAAGAAACGTCTCTCTTCGAAGACTTTCGAGCTGATACGCCGTGGGGTCGCGCAAGCTGCAAGCAATAACCAGCTAAAGTCCGAACTTGCGAAGCTATGCAGAGAAGCGATAAAGGAAGATCTGAAAGAGAGAAGAGCAGCAGTTTTGACTGAAACCGCTGAGGCCGCCCGCCGGAGCTTCGTCAATTATGAGACGAAGATGGCTTCCCTTCGTCGTCCATACGGAACTGTTGCTGTATCCCGAAGGGCAATGGAGAAGGCTATCTACGACTTCCACTCGGATCTCTTCGACAGCCACGTCTGCCTCCCTACCTACCATCCATATCTGTTTCGATCCGGTCCCGACAGGATCGAAACAGACATCTAAAGAGCCTCCCGTCAGTCATTGTCAAAACACTGTCCCGGCTTTTCACACGGTACCTGTCGGAGTGCAAAGTGCCCTTTTCGTGGAAAACTAGCAGTACAGTGTTGCTTTTTAAGAAGGGAGATCGAGACGTTGCCTGCTGCCTATAATCTTTAAACTTTTCACACGAGTCATCCTTACAGAATTGGCAGAATATTAGATGAAGGGCAGCCATGTGAGCAAGCAGGGTTTCTGAAAGGGCTCAGTACAGTCGATCACATCCATACTCTTACAAGACTCATTGAAGTATTGCAGGAGTACAAAATGCCGTTACGTCTTACCTTCATCGACTTGAAGAAAGCCTTTGATAGCTTCAAGAAAGAAGTGATAACTGAAGCTCTAGGCAACCAGGGTGTTCCCACTCAATCTACTCAATATGTAAGAATGCTTCATGAACTCTACAACAACTTCACGATCAGGATCTCGCCATTCTGTAAAGAAGTCATCATCATCGTGAAGAGGAGGGCGGAATTTTGGGCGACACCATCTCGCCCAAAATTTTCTGTGCCGCTCTCGAGAACGTCATGCGTCATGCGGAATAGGAAAGCATTGGAGTGAAGGTCGACGGCCGCTGCCTACATCATCTCCGCTTTGCAGATGACATCGTGCTTATAACACCCGACATCGAGCAGCCGGAACAAATGCTGCCGAAATCGAAAACGCTTGTGGAAAACCAATTACGATTGAACATATTGAAGACGATGTTCATGCGAAACGGAATGGTACCTGATGCTTCTTCCACGCTCAATGTAATGAATATCTCTGAATGCTGTGTATCTAGGTCGGGAAGTCAACATGGTGAACAACCTAGCTCCGG